GCGTGCCATCAGTCCCGACTAAGCCAGCGAGTTCGGCCTCTACTGGCTCAGCGGTATCTCGATGCTTCCCCCATCTACCAGAGGTGTTAGAAACTACTGTTGGGCGGGAAATGCTATGACACGGGACCCACGGCTTAAAGTCCCTCCCGGAGGACTTGTTCCCTGAATTTTTCCGCCCTTAAAAATTCCACGACCTCCGCCGGGTTTGAACCCGTGTACCTTGAGTCACGGGGTGGGAACGTTACCTCTAGACTACGAAGGCCGCTATCCCGTACAGTTACCTACTGTTTTCTTATTTGCTACAGACCTGTCTTATTATCGAGAGGTGGGCATTGTGAAATTTGGTCTGTCTAGTGGGGTAAAGGCTTCATTTTGTGGAGATTACATGCATTTCGGGTTCTTTATAGCATATTCTCCTTATTTTGAAAAAAGTTATGGTATCGGCATACTTTCCTTATTTAAAAAAAAATATACGTAGGCTTCCGTGACTTTCATGCTGTCTTTGTGCCTGTGAATCCCCCTTATTAACTTTTCAATGCCCACACCAGTCTTTATGAAACTCAGTATGTATATCATGGCACCTGCTCCCTTCTCAACGGCATACTTCATAAACTCCTGTCATAAGTCTGTATATTCGTTCTACCGTTGCTAGGCAACGGCTCGGTAGACACTTTCCCGTGGCAATGAACAGACGCAACAATAGAAAACCTGTTGGAGGCATCTGTTTCTATGCGGTCCGTGTCGGATCAAAGAAAATGTCTGTGGGTCTGTCTGTGTATCTCCCGTAGTTGCTATGTAACAACACAGTCAAGTTCCCGCGACAACGAAGAATTGCTGGAGGCGTCGTTTTCTACGCGGTCAGTGTCGGATCAAAGAAAAATAGGTGATTATTGGCATAATATCTTCTTTAGTTCTTATGTTCTGTTCCCTCTCTGTTCTTGTGTGTGTTACTATACAATATTCTGATTACGATGACTATGTTATTGCATAATGAGGAGCTTCATAACTTGTACTCTTCTCCAAATATAATTAGAATAATGAAGTTAAAAAGGGTCCGATGGGCAGGTCATACAGGATGAACGGGGGAGAAATGGAAGCATATGTACCTAAGGTGGGGATGGTTGGTATGTCTGGCGCGGTTCACAACCGAGCGGCAGCCTGTGTTGCGGCCGGCGGTAGCATTTTCGAAAACCAGCTTTAAACACCAATCAATTCAAATTAAAGGTAATCTCACGAAGTTAACTTTACATTCATACTTTACATGTATCATGTATTATGCTGGTTTATTATTTTGTTCCGTTTATTGTCAGTAATCGTTACCTTCTATTCCGAGTTTAAAACGGCCATAACTCGTAACCGTCCAAAATCGGACACATGTTTATATGAACTTTTTTGATCACAAAGACCTAGGAAATCACCTCCTGCAGTTATGCCCTAAAGCCGTGAAACATCCTGTATATATGAAACGGGATCATTCTTGAGGAGCTAACAGCTGCTCAGCTGCTGAAATAATCCCCTGCCATTTATGGATGGTTCACTGCCCGTTTTCACTACAGCCCGCGGCAAGGTGAGACTCTGCCACCTGCTTCTGCTTTTTTTTATATATATATTCGCTTAGTGGGGGGTGGAGTCCAACTGGGTTCACTCGGCACGGCTGCCACTGATTGGCCTATTGTAGCCTGAACCGGGTGATTATGATGGAGAATTTGGTGGAATGAAGATTGGCAGGGGAAACCGAAGTACTCGGAGAAAACCCGCCCCAGCGCCACTTTGTCCACCACAAATCCACTTGATCACACACGGGATCGAACCCGGCCCGCCGCGGTGGGAAGCCAGCGACTAACCGCTTGAGCTATGGCGCGGCCTTCTGCTGGTTTCGTGATTGGCCTATTCTTCGATCCTGAAGACGGAGGGGTTATGTTCCTCTGAAACGTCGGACTGTCTGAGCTACACGGTGTTACGAACCGGAAAACCGTCCTCTTCATAACGCATGCTTCCCATATTTTAATCCTCACAACTTCAAGCAGAAGATGGAAGGTAAGACGCCACAACGATTCTCTGTCCTCGTCCGTATGACGTCTACACGCGACATTACAAGACTCCTCGTCGGTTCGTACGTCCTGCGACTGCAATTCTGGGCTGTTACAAAATATATTCGGCACTAACTGATCTACTTGTCGCCCCGGCGTAGTGTTTCCAAATTCCCGACAAACATGTATCTTTGGGATTTAGGAACGAGAAATCCAAATTTCCTGGAATTCCCGAAATAATAACTTATTCCGTAGTATTATTATGAATCAATATACTGTGACAAGATTATATAATTCAGTAACATGCAAAAATGGTCTCTACCTTATACTGACAACTGATAATAGATGGGAATATTAACCAGATAAATACCAAATAAAAATCATTTTAATAATAAAAAACGTAATACCACAAATGTTTAATATTTAAAGTTATCATTCCTAAAATTAATTTTTATAACACACAAAGTATGCGGTGGCGTGGTTGGTTGAGGCACTATGCTACAAGCCGAAAAGTCGCGGTTTCGAGTCCCGATGAGGTGATTTTTATTCAATTGACCTAATCCTTCTCAGCCGCACTATGGCCCTGGGGTCGACTCAGCCTCTAACAGAAATGAGTACCAGGAATCTTCCTGGAGGGTAAAGGGCGACCGGTGCGTAAAGCTGACAACCTTACCGCCATCTGTGAGCCGACTGTCTTGATAGCGTGGGAGTCTCGACGTCTCACAACCCTATGGGCCTCCATAGCCTGTTACAGGGGCAGCTTTACCTTTTACAAAGCATTAATTACTCTATCCGATTGTCTTCATCTTTTTTTCCTGAAGAATATTCCAGAAGTACAATTTTTCTTTTCATTTTGCGTTGACTTTGGTCGAACTGTCCAAGAGTGCGTCCGAAAACATCTTCAAGTGGGAAGTTCGGGTATACAAGTATGTTGCGTCACATAGGCTAATTTCCTTTTTTAACGATGAAAACACTTTGTCTGCTCGCCGATTTTTTTATTTTGCCGTCGAAATCGGTATTGGTTTTGCTAATTCAGATATTGGATCAGTCCCTGATTTAATTTCGGAATATGCCATAACAACGTTCACTTCATCAATCACGATTATGTGTCCGTTTCACCTGAACATGTATAACCTCTGCAGTTAAAACAGCATCATCGAATAACGTATGAATAAATATGCTAACGGTGTGCGAAGTGTTCAGTCAATGAATGCAAACCATGCGTCCGTAATTCAAACGTCAGCCATCTGAGTGATATGCAGTTAAATGGGGTGGATATGCATGCCTACCTTACAGCCAAAATCACCTGTAAAAGCTATAAGCCTGCACCGGCATATCCTGGTTGTTAATCCGGGTTCTCGTTACTCTGTAACCATTGAGTCAGTACCAAAAATGAGAAAAGTTTGTGTTCACCTTTTGAATTGTTTTTACACGAAAAGCATAATGGAGATTCCTGCCTGTCTGACCGTAAACTTGTTTCAGCTCCAACTCCACGGGGCAGAATCCTTTTGGAAGGCTGACAGTAGCACAGTTAGTGAAGACATTTCCAGTCCTTCGTAGGATCTGGAGATTAGCTGCTCACTTCACAACGGCCTGACGTAGGACCTTACCGCGTGCAGGTCAACTCTTCGTGGATAGTTTAGTATACGTTGAACGCGACAGACAAAAAATGCAAAGGACGTTCGAAGGGCATTTCATGAACGCTAACATACAAAAGCAGCAACCGTAAAATGTTCGGAATTACTGTGTCTTTCAACTTTGTCCATCGCCCGGTATTCTAAAAAACACTAGAGAACATATGCGATTGAGGTAAGGTCCTCCTAAAGGACCCAACAGAATAGGTGCCTCCCACTCACCTCAGGACGGACACAGATCCAGTTTCCGAAACGTTGTGTTCTCTTAGTGTTTTTCAGAATAAAGGACAATGGACAAAGTCCAAAAACCCAATAAATCCTAGTGTTATACACCATCGTCAGAGCCCTTTCGAATCCACGTAAAAAAATGTTGCGAATATTACGAAAAGCAAATTTTGTTCATAGAATGCTGAAAAGAACATCGTTTATTCTAACGTGAAAAATCTGTAACAATCACATTTGAGCACGGGCAGGTAAACTAAATGGAAACAACTTACTCCATTTTATTCTATAATTACACAAACTCGCATCAAATTCCTCCTTTTATCCCAGTTATAGAAGTAAACATAATTTCGGAACTCAAGAAGTATACTGACACAAAAATAAAAAATATATAAAAAAGTAAAGTATGTAATTACAACAAGATTTTGTCACACAAACGTCAATTGATACGGCGCCCGCACAACCAAATGCAATGTTTCATCAAAGCAGCGAAATCTGGACTTAAAGACAGAAAGGATACCACAGATCAGAAGCAGACTTTTGTGACTAGGTTTCAAATAGAAACATTCTGACATCCGATAGAATTGTATATATATCATGGACGAAAATATACTATTTTAACTGCTCTCGTATTTGGACGGTCTCTGGTGTATTCATTGTTCCTCTGGCTCACACACAGTCCATTTTCTTTCACACCCCGATATAAAGAAAGCAAAGGACAGAAAAAAAGTGAAACAACAATCTATGATTACCGACAGTTTTCCCAGTTTGTAGCAATATATTCATATTTACATGATTACTTTCCCCGGAAATAATATGTGGCGTTATTGTGTCCCTAATATCACAAAAACGGTCTTAAACGCAGGTCACATATCCCTTCATAGGAAGACGCAGAATTATTCTGATTCCTTAGGGTTAATATGGCTGATGGTACACGAAAGAAAATCATTATTGTGTTCGACTACGAATTTCACGGTGGAGCAATGCAACTTGCGCCGAAAAGTTACAGAATGCACTAATCTGTCCCGTTCTCAGAGTACGCGACTATGATTTAAAAATATCCCCCGCTATAAACACATTTACGTCTTAAATTCTTAAGATGGCAGTAACTTACCTGTCATTGACGATATCATGCGCCTTGAAACGAAGTATTAAAACATATCTGGAATCTTTACACTTACGCGGTTACAGTACACAAACATTCACACCGACTAATAACGGAACACACACTTCACAACCCCAACGGAGGCGAGGGAGACGACTGATACCATGGAGACGATTGAAACACAGCTGTTTTGGTGGTTTTGGACGACGGAAACGTAGCGCTGTGAGCAGCTACGCGAAACAACATAACATCACGTCTGCGAGTTCCGCCCTCCAGCGGGACTGTGAGAAACTATTCGTCAGTCGAGCCTCTTCCGCCATCTATCGACAGGAACCTAAACAATTTCCGTAACATATTCAGTATAATGTTCGAACATTTATCAGTTGAACACACTCACTGACTCAGTTAAGTTAAAGATTAAACAAATAAGAGAACACCGAAGTGGCGAAGGAATTAACATACATAAAATTAACTGAATAAATACGTAACAAAAAAAAAAAAGGACCATTCATCCAAATAATATTTAAGAATTCGGTCCCCGTCTCACAGAAAACACACATGACTCGGTAAACAAAGACTGATCAATTACTGCTTTTTCGGCAAATAGTAACCGTCTAATCTGAGTATTTTACGAAACCCATACATATACTCTGTCAGCAAAATTCAGAGTGTTATAATGTTAAAGCTGATAGCATATAAAGCAACGGCAGAGAATAAGACAAAACCATTGTCTAGAAAATATTCTATAGGCAGGAGAGTTCGTCTGGGAACAAACCACATTAACCTCTTATAGCCCAGCGGTTAATATATGTACCACCCGCCTTAACATATTAAAATTCCGCATTCCCAAAATAGACAGCAATTGTTTCCCTAAGGCCCCCCATACACACACAGTTTGGCCTCCCGTTCGGCCTGCACAGTTCACGGCTGAAAGGCAAAACTGATGTGTGTGGTGCGGCCGGCCAATCGTTTGGACTGTAGGAAACCCGTCAGTCCGTCAGTTCTACCTGCAGGTCGATCGGCAGGCCAAACTGAGTGTGTATGGGGGGCCTAAGCAGCATTAATCGGTTGGTCTTTGTAGCGGAGAAGTGCTCTGTTTCCTGTGAGATAAAAAGTAAGGTAAAGCTATCCATGTAGCAGGCCGTGAAGGCCCATAGGTTTGTGAGACGTCGAGGCCCCCGAGAGGTATGAACCAAATATTTATGTACTATCTAGAATATCAGGTGCACACGGTAGCTTAGTTAGTTGCGGAACTATGCTACAAGCCGGAAGGTCACAGGTTCGATTCCCGATGAGGTCATTGGATTACGCTTAAACTAATTCTTCCAGCCGCACTACGACCCTGCGATCGACTCAGCCTCTAACAGAAATGAGTACCAGGAATCTTCCTGGAGGTAAAGGGCGGCCGTCGCGTAAGGCTGATAACCTCACCGCCGTCTGTAAGCCGATTGTCTAGAAAATGTGGGATCCTCGACGTTTCACAACGTTATGGGCCTCTACGGTCTGTTACAGAGATAGCATTACCTTATATATATATATATATATATATATATATATATATATATATATACACATATAGACAAGACATCNCCTACTTCCTGCTGTTTAGGCCCAAGAATTTTCCTCGGCACTTTGCTCTCATAACCTCTCTCTGTATATTCTTCCCCTAATGTGAGAAACCAAGTTTCACACCCATACAAAACTAAAGGAAAAACTGAGGTTTTGCATATTCAGATCTTTATATTTGTATACAATAGACAAACGAAGGCAAATAATTCTGAACTTAACGTATTTGGATTTTGCCACTATTGAAAAAGAAATCTTTCACATCCTGACGATCGATGCAGTGTGTTCTTCCGAAAAGCACCAGACCGCACTCTTACACATTTCATTCAGCTTGATGTTAGTACCAAATTATGCCTTCCACGTTGTAAGTAGACGGAAAGGGAACAGTAAATGTACGTATACCACAGAATTTGTAAACGCGCAAAATTCCCATTGGCAATGCGATGAACGCGTCAAAATTTCCATGAATTTTGTACTGCGACATTTTCTGTTTCCTATCGAAACTCTGTTAAAGTAGTACGTTATTTCCATATGAGATGGCGACACCAGTCATAACATTGCAGGCATGCTGCATGATATGTGTGGACGCCGGGATGTTTGGTTTAGTGCAGTATGCACGTGAGGCAGGTGTATACATGTTACGCAAAGAATGCTGGCCGTGTGACCGGACGTACGAAGCCGCAATGAGGGCTGTGCACTAATTCCGCTCCTGAATATTTGCTGGTCAAATTGTGCAACAACATCTTGTGCTGTAGAGGTAAGACTGCATTATTATAGAATTTACTGAAACAATATTAGTGTGGTTTTACTTCAATTGGATAGCAAAGATCTCTGCAGACGTTGTCTGTTTCAGTTTTCTGATGTACTCAAAATTTATGTGAGAAAATGAAAACAAAAGGAAGTTTTATAACGTTTCGCAACAAAATTACGAATCGTTCATTAGCCAGTGAGATCAGAAATTATTCTGATGACGAATTCGTACACCAAGGAAATGTAATTTGAAATACTTTATATACGTATGATACATCGTATACGGAACCCACAGTACTGGGAACTATATACCAATTCTTAATTTTTGTATCATTCGGCCTTCCTTAAACTACATCGCATTAATTTTTTAGCGTAATTAATTTTATTGCTATATGCTTGCCAATACCTTCAAGCTTATTCCAGACGTATGTATGATATTCAGATTGTTATAATAAATTTGGTGTGTGAATTGTAATGTGGTTATTAGTCTTCAGTTCCTCGTGTAATTTACTGAGAATTTTGGTTTCCGTGGATTTATTTCAGTATATAACTGGAAGTTAACATTACTTCGCAAAGACGTTACCTAGTCATGGCTCTCGAACGCTGTGCTACTTCTCTGTTTATTTATGTCCTTATTTTAACAACATGATTTTCAGGTTTTCAGTGATATTTATGTCTGTTCATGTTCGCCTGCAGTTTGTTGTTGTTACTGTGTGGATTGTGTTTGAATTGTGCAACATGTGTTGAGGTTTCCTGTCCAGGTGTATCTAATTCGTGATGCGTGTTGTCTCTCCTAGTCTAGACTTTCTGTATGACAGATGCTGGTAGTGTTTGCTGATAGTACAGGTCTGAGTCGCCTTGTTTTTGAACCAAAATAGGCCTTATTTATGTAATATCGATAATTTGAATTGAAAATACGTGGATTTATATAAGGTATACAAGGAACGAACAACATTAGGACCAAATTTTGGCGAAATTTGAAATCATGGCTACATTTCTTCATCTTGAAAATAACTTGGGGGAGGATCTGTGAGACACTTCTCTATACTGTCTGTTATGTTGTTTCTATTCTCATGCACATTTGTATATGATTGTTTGGTTCTCATACAGAACCGGCACAAATAATAGCTGCTCAGTAATTACCCCGTTTGCTGCAGATAATGTGAAATAATGCCGCTGTAGTCTATATACATAACCCTAAAACATGCATTAACATATTACAAAGCCAGCCGGATTACGCAGCTCAACTGTTACTACTCCTGCAATATTGATCAAACAACTCAGGACTGCTAAGTCGTAATGTTTCTGACGGGGTTGTAAACATGACTCTCGTTTTCGGCAATTTCTGCCGATTGTCAGCACTCCCTCTGAGACGGCCAATACAGCCTCCATGAGGATTCAGTACTTACATTTAACGTGAATAGCTTCGCCTGGACTTGTGCCAGTCAGAAAATGCTAATGACGTTCTTTCGTCATTTGTGTTATTGTGGTTTCCTCCTTCATCACGTGAGGTACGTTAATAGGCCAACGTGTACGAATTCTGTCATCTTTTAATTCGGTGTTTACTTATTTATCTGTTCACCTTTTCTGTCCATGTTCATTTCTATTTTACGTTATCATGTTCTTTCTTGTCTCGCGTATTCAGTGTCTCATATTTCCATTTCTTTGCACAAGTATACCACGTGGCTTTTTATACGTGTCTTGTAGCCCGTTGGGGTGTAAGGCCATGCTTTCATGTGTATTTGTGGCCAGAAACTCGAGGTAGTCGCCCAGTTTAAGAAATAAGGGGTCTGCATATAAGAATTTAACATCTTTCTTCTGAGATATAGTCCAGCGATCCTTAAGCATGTGTTTTGCATCATCTTAAATGTTTACGGTCTGAACTTATGTTAAGATCCGTCTTGAATTGAAGTTGGAAGGCAACGCGGCCCAAGCTGAATGCGTTGCAAATGTCGAAAAGGGCTTTGTAAATAGCAGCTAAACAAATGCGTAGCATGGCCATTATGGCTCAGTTGCCCAGTTTGATTGTAGGCTATCAGTCGAGAGAGAGTTGCATGTTTCAGAAAATTAGCGAGTTTTTGTTTTCTGATGCTGGCTCTAGAAGCTGCAGATCTCTTGGCGTCACCCTTTCGGCCAGAACAGACGTGTGCTGCTTTTCGTTACTGAATTACTGTACTAAGGATTCAAATTTAACTTAGTGGACCACAAATCGTTAAGCAAAGCGATGTGCCCGATTTGACGCAGCATTCAAATATAAATTTTATATAAAGATAAATTAATTTAGTCGCAAGATCCGAGACTATGAGGTTGCCAACAGCATGTAAAGGGACAGTGGCTTGTGTCGTACTCGGATGATCATAACTGTTCCATATTGTCTCCTAGTGGCGAATAAATTAAACTCAGTAACGCTGATGCTGGTAGGTTTGGCCGCAACTCCCTTGAGATTCTCATGTTATCCTGTTCCCTAGTCCGGCCAGCCAGATATGTTTACCTGCCCTTCATTACATATAAGGGAGTGTATCTCTCATTAGCGGACATCCCTTTTAATTAACTCATTTTTATATTAACTATAATAACCCTGAAGCGAGAGATGAACCAAAGGCGGGAGGACACGAAGGTTCTGGTCGGCGGTGCGTTACTACATTCTTCCGCGAACCACAATTGAGACTCGTTTCGCATGGCACGAGCGCACATTTGACCACTGCGGCTGTCCCCATTTCCCTGCTGTACAGTCGACCTGTGTCGCGGCACGCTCCCGTGTGTCTGTCGTATGCGATGCCTTCACCTTCACTTGCCCCGGATGGAAACCGGCAGAGAAAACAGCAGTAAACTGAGAAGTTGAACGGTACTTCAGTCAGAGAGGGCGACCCATATCAACAAACCTGCAGGTGTCTCAACAGTAATAAAAATCCGGTCTTGGACCACGGATGGGGCTTGGCACCAAGACAGGCTAGCCGACTGACCGTCGGTCGTAACATAACTTCGACTTTAGTTGAGTCCGTTCAGAGTTGCTCTTGTGAGAAGTGAGAAGCTGAGGGAGAGTTCGGGAACCTAGGGGAAGGGGGATAACCGCCGTTTGAAACGCTACCAAGCTACAGCTAATGAAGACTGAGAAGAATTTTTGTGTTGTAGTTAACAGTGATCTTTGGAGTGTGTAACTCAGTGAGACTGTCGTAGTTATTTGTAGTTACGTGTCTAAGTGTCCAGTAAATCCACTTACCAATCTCAACCTCGTCTCTAGTCACAATCACGTGATAGTCGTTATTAATTTTATACAGATTTTTTGAAAATGTGGCACAGTTTAGATATTTGGGAACGACGAAAGCAAATCAAAACCTGATTCAAGAAGAAATTAAGAGGAGACTGAACTCGGGTAATGCTTGCAGCGCAGGATAGAGAGGAATGGAAGGGCTTGATAAGGGAGGCCAAGGCCCGACATCGGGCTGTTGCGCCATAGAAGAAGAAGAATGCTTACTACCATTCAGTCGAGAACCTTTTGTCTTCTCGTCTGCTGTCTAAAAACGTAAAAATTAAAAAAATTTCCCGTGGTTCTGTACGACTGTGGAACTTTGTTTCTGACATTAAGAGGCGAGCACAGACTGAGGGTGTTTGAGAACAGGATGCTGAAGAGAATATTTGGACCGAAGAGAAATGGAATGATAAGAGGCTGGAGGAAATAGCATATTTAGGAGCTCCACAACTTGCACTCTTGGCCAAATGTAATTAGAATGAACGAGTCAAGAAAGATGAAATTATCATGGCATGTAGTACGCACGAGAGCGGGGTGCATACAGAGTTCTTTGGGGAAAACCAGAAGGAAAGAGCCACTAGGAAGACCTAGACGTAGGTGGAAGATTAATATTGAAATGGATCTTATATAGGATGCGCTGGTATGGACTGGATTCATCTGACTCAGGATAGGGCCAGTGGAGGGCTCTTGTGAATGCAGTAACGAACCTTCGGGTTGCATAAAATGCTGGGAATTTCTTGAGTGGCTGAGCGACTGACGGCTTCTCAAGAAGGGCTCAGTTCCACGGAGTTAGTTAAATTATGAGTGACTTATATGCATGTCCCAAATTGCTGTTTATTTGTAAGACGAGAAGGGTGGTGGGAGCAGGGTTGCTTGGTAGCAAGGATTGTCACGTGGTAGGGGTAAATTAATCAATGTATCAGTTAGCTTCCAATATACGTTCTCTCCGCTTTCTGTGCTTGTGTGCGCGCAAATAAACTGTTTTGGGGATTTAGTAGAGCTTTACAGCGTTATAAATTGAGCTGATTGGTGTAGTTGTAATGCTTTTAGACTAGTTTCTAGGATGTCAGATTTGAGGTTTTCACGGCGGTGACTATGAAGAATGCCGTCTTCTGGGATATGGCGCCGTGTAGATATTGTGTAAACCGAAGTTTCGGAGGAACGTATCTCCTCTGTCTTCTACCCTGAAGATGGGGGCGATACATTCCTTCGAAACTTCGGTTTACACAAGATCTGCATGGCGCCATATCCCAGAGGACGGCATTCTTAATAGTTTCCAGGAATGCGCCATTCGAATGTCCGCCGAGACTAAGGATTTTCGTGGTTTTATGCAGGCCCTCGAGGATAGCGTCATAATGCCTTAATTAAACGACGAATGATATTCTACTGCAACATCCTGTTGCACGTCGCTTATCGCTTTGATATCTTATTCACCCTCTCACGTGCAAACTTGTATTAAAATCTTAAAATTCCCGTTTCTTTGAACTTTAAAATTATTTTTTCCCATCGCTGGTGCAGTAAATGTTTCGACCGAATATGGCATCATCAGATGCTTCGAAAATTGCTGTTGAAAACTGTTGCACTTCCGCCAAAGCATACAACTCCAAAATATACCCTCGTTCATGCGTCCATGTGTTGCTGTACGCCTGTAACATGCAATGGTAATAGTGTATTTCCCATATGGACTACATTGGTGTGTCCTATGACGTGGTTGGATGTGTACTTCTTGTAATGCCGGGTTATTCCTGTTACATGTC